GCTTTACGCTCCGCGAGCCTCCGCGCTTCGTCCTGGCGGCAGGTCGGAGAGTAACGGAACAAAATCAACGTCACGAAACGCAACCACAAACGTCCACTGCTCGCGGAATAGTTTTGATATGAGTACGATGACGGATGTGACAAAATAAACAACGGAAAAACAACGGAATAAAAAACGTGTGTACGGCAAACGGGGGGTGAACGGGATCAATGACAAGGCTACAGACATGAATCGCCGCTACATTACACCTGAATGCGATCACCTTCCTGTTTGCCCACTTCTNCCGTCAACGCCATACCGTAGAAAGAAGCATTTCACTCAGGATTTCTAAAACTGTCTCAAGGTCCCTACGCCGTCCAGTTCTCGTTAGGTCCGTCTGCATAATTGCAATCGGCCTCTAACTCCCTGTCGGCTACCGTAACACATCCCAACAATGCCTCGAATTCCAACGGCCGGCACAAAATGGGGCAAAGAACGGATGGAACGTCGGTCTGGAATAACGCGCGTTGAGGCACACCTCTGCGCCGCACCGCTACCTACGAATGAAGGTCGACACTCACGAAGTACGTGCCCGTTATACATCTGTAAGCGGCCTGCCTCCGCCTGAGCTGCTCTTGCGCCTGGAGTTCGGACGTTGGCATGTTTTTCAACGTCGTGGCAACGGTATAGGCAACGGAGAGAACCGGGAAGCGGTGACGGGGAGAACAACATCGGCACGGGTAGACCGGGACGCGGGCAGGCAACACAATGAAACGCTACGTGCCATTCGCAACGCGGGAAATGAACAACGTGTACTTGTACGCGATGTCACCTTGCCCTGCGCGTCCGCCAGTTCCGTGCAGGTATGAGGAGCCGACGGTGAACCACCCGAGTCCCCTACAGCTTCCTTGAGCCTCGCCTCCGACTCCTTGCAGTCGTCTTGTGCCAAGCGCACAAGACCGGCCATCCTCGTGACAGCAGCTTCGTGATTTTTCGCGGTGTTGTCGTGAGACAGAGCCACGAAGTGGTTCAACTCCCTGATGCGGCCACCGCTGAGACGTTTGTACTCGTGGGCGTCGCTGAACTGGGGTCTGTAGTCCGCGCTCGAAACATACGTCATAACAACATGAACGGTCTGACGTCCCGGGTCCGGTGCGACCAGCGGTTGGAACAGGGTCCACTGCCACTCTCCACCGTTGACGTTCTGGACGCTGGTGACTGCGAATTATGGCATGCAACCGACACGCGAGGAATTCCAACAAGCCGTCAACAAGAAATCACACGTAGCTTCGCGAAATTTTCGCGTGCGCCCTCACGCCGGCAGGTTTGCCGCCATTATCGGGTGACCCCCGTGCAAAGCTAGTGATGAAAACTAGCGACGAACGTGAAACACCAATCGAACACGCGCAGATGGTTTTGCTCATGGAACTGAAACGTGGAACGGGAATGACGGTATTAAAAATTAACCGAATTCAAAATTAAAACGCCAATGCCGACAGAACGAAATACGCCGTGAGAATTCCTAAAGAATTGAGAGCCTCACATGGCACAAATACGCGGACAGGTCCCCGGATGACGGTGGCCAGCATAGGAAGCACGAACTGCTGGAGGAATACTTTATCCCGAGCGATTTGGTGCAGGCATCCCAAGAACACCAGCCGTGCGCAGTCACGCGACGCCATTCGCCAACGGTTCTCCGGCATTGCGTCCACCACCCAGCCACACCTCTTCAGGTCGAACACCACCTGATCCACATAGTTGTACCACGTGCCGTAGAACTCATACTGGCGATCGAGGTACACCTCGATGTTGCGCAAGCCTTCCACGACAATCCCCAGCCGGAGCTGAGCTGCCATCGTCTTCACGGCGTTCCTGACCCCACGTGGTTGCTTCTTCACGAGCAGCATGGCCACGGCGTTCAACAAGCAGTTGCCGTCTCCATCCGTAAGATAGGGAGTGCCTGCCTCACGCCCATCTTCGTGATTGATACCGCGAAGAATGGCGGAGGTGAAGTGGCACTATTCCGCTCCTTTTTCCAACAGCTCTCGGTCCGTCTGCGTTGTTCCGAACGTCCATGGTCAGGTACGACAGAAACATGGGGGAAGCGGTGCGTGATGGATGGACAGGAACCGTACACTCGTACAGCATCGTCAAACTTGTCTTCGTGCGTATCTAGCCCAGGCACTTTTCCCCCATCAGCATCTTCGACGTACGGATGGCGCTAACCCCTAACTGTACTTCATGCGCATATTGATTCCATGTCCTAAGTTTCATCAGCACCATTAGAGGGTAGCCTGCCTGAGTAGCGCACGTACAAACCGAGAAATCACCTAACCCTAACCCTAGAGCTGCTACTCGGGGGCATCTTCAAAGTTGTTCAAATCATCGCCGTGGAAATGAGGTAACAAATAGTCTGGTACTGTTGCATTGCGCAGCATATATACGCAGGCGGACATGTAGTAGGCTAACACGAACGCGAAGCATGAACGACATGAACGGCGCCGCTATATTTGCCCGAAATTTGAACGGAATTTGAATCGGCGAATTTGAATCGATTTTCGAACCATTTTGGAACCCGCGGTGCACTAGGGCCAGCTTTCGGACTCAAGCCTATTAAGTTGTGCGGTCCCTATACCATGTACCCCCGTTGTATGCACACACCTGGGACGGTGAAGGTAGAGGGAAATGGTCGAAGGGGCCACCTTTCTGTAGGGCGCGACGTTTGGCCTCCGCCACAGCTGGATGGTCAACTGCGATGCCATGGGCGTCCCCGCGAGGTTTCCGCACGACAGCACCCAACAGCGACCTCAAGTCACCGAGCGCGGCCTGCTGAGGGTTCCCCGGCTTCTCCAGGCTAGACCGAGAATTCATTCCGATCGATGTACACCTTCGTCGGCGTAGCGCGGTCTGGGACCGAGGCCGACGAGGCACGGAATTGTTTCACGGCGGACCACACCCGCGCCTCCTGCCTGCGGACCCCCTGCTCTGGCGCCATTTCCTCGTGGGGGTTGCTTCAGGCTACGTCATTCAATTGACGTCATTGCCTCTATCCTAGTTGAGGGGTGCGTGACTCCAGTACAAGAT